GATCTTCCAGAAATATCTTATCTACATCATTTTTAAATAGGTTGTTTGCATCCTTGTGTAAAATGTCAAACAAAAATCTAATTTGATACTTAAATTTTCCTCTCTAGCAACCTGAGACTCACTTGCTTTTCCTTTATTCTTTTTATTAAATGATATTCATCAAAACAGGCTTTTCATTTTAATACAATATGGGGCTGGTAAGTCATTGTTGTTCTGGGCTTGTTCCAAATGTGTGCTAAATCATTAGAAAAAACATATTTTTTTATTAGAAAAAACATACTTTACATAGAAAATATATAAATATAAAATCATTAAAAAAAGCATACTTTTTTCGAACAAAATCAGCATGCAAGATGGCTGCCTATCACATGACCAAAGAACTTATTTGATTAGACAAGGTAGCTCAAAAAGGACAAAAGTACATCAAGTTTGTTTAATATTTTCTGAGAAGCAGAATATGGGATTTAATTGACTAATTTTTCAGTGAGGTATACAGAGGTGTACACTCAGACGTTTGGTAGGTTACCGAAAGAGTGATTAAAAGTAACCAGTTCATTAATGTTGGTTGCTTACCAATGTTTCAAGTTGCCTGTCGCTATTTGTTATAAAAATTGTTTGCATGTTCTAATCATTTTTTTTTATAGGCCCAAGTGTAGACTAGAAATAGTTTGTGTAAACAAAAGTAATATTGTAAACTATTAATAACTTTTTTAATTTTTAGATAAATATTATGCCGATTTATACACCATTAGTTTTTTACAACAAAATTACTCTTTTTTACAACAACAAAGTCTTGACAAATATAAAAAGACAATTTATAAATATTTTTATACTTATTAAAAATACTCTAAAACTCTTTGCTTTTAATGTATTGTAGTTATTAGGATCTTATATGTTACAGCAGCCTGCTATTGATATTTGGAAAGTATTTTAAAATACCACGTAATTAAATTTAGTTTTAAACTTTGTTAAAAATCACTTACGATAAATAAAAAATCACTTGATCAATTAAATAAAAATCACTTAATTACAAAAGTTATTGATTAAAGCTTAATTTGGTATTTGAAAAAGATTATATTTCCTTACAATTTATTTCTTAAAACAATATTATACTTACTATAATCTTTTGTTTGTTTATGACAATTTGTTTATTTGTTTTAATATCTTTATTTATTTATTGTAATATTTTCAATAAAGATTACAAACTATTTATAGATACCAATAAGATATTTGTAAACGTAATTATATTTATAAATGTATTACTTCAAAAAAACTTAACACGATATTGAATTAATAAGAAACAAAAAATTTTAAATGCATTTGTGAAAAAAATCTTAAAAAACATACTTTTTCCTTTTTAAAAGAAAAGAAGGAATAAAAAAAAAAGAAAGAAAGAGATTTCTTAACTTATATTTTGTATTACAAATTAGTTAGCAGGTGATAAAAAAAAAATTTCTTTAGTAAAAATTGCAAAACTATTCCTTTGAAACTAAATTTTACATTCAGGGTTTTATTATTTTACAAACCTTGAAAACTAAATTAAAATTTTTTAAATCATATTTAAATTTGAATTTTTTAATTTAAACTAATTTTTGTAAAATAATATTTTTCTTTATAAAAGGTTGTTAATATACTTAATTTAATTAATGACACTGCGAGGGAAAAATTTTATTCCTTTGACTTTTGTGTATAAGTTTAATTTCTTAATCATTTATGGACGATCCCTAAGTGATATTAAAATATAATTGTAGTATTCCAAAATAAAAAAGTTTTCACGTAAAACTTGCTGTATGCAAATTGTAATTTTGTATGTAAAATGCAATCTGTGTAACGCTTTTTATAAAGGCCTGTTGAAGTATTTTTTTTTTTGGCAAATTTAGTTCTATTACTTTATCTCTAAATCATTAAATAAAATTTTTAAAAAAAACTTAAAATAAAATAGTATTTTTGTTTAAACATTAAAACTTTTTAGTTTCTATTTAGGAAGTTTTTTTTAGATATGTTTAAACGCTCACACAGTTTTTTATATTCAAATTAATAATAGAAAATGCGGAAAAGAAACTTATGCACTGTGACTTTCAAAAATATTATTTTAGTTACTTTTTTTACAGAATTCTTAGATTAAAAAAAAAATAACAGACTAGAACTGTGGATAAAAATAAATAGTTGCCCTTTCAGGCAACTTGATTGCAGTAAAGGAATACTTTTAGTTGCCCTTCACAAAATTCAATTATCTGTTTCCATCAGGCGACCACAAGTATACGCCTCTAATCTATATATGTATATATAATTTATTTGATATAACAGAACAAAAAGTTCGAAGTTTTCATTTGCAGTCATGATAATTTTTGTTTTGTTTTTCTATCTTTGTGTTTAGGTATTCATTAATTTTTGGTAATTTTTTACATATTTTTCCAAATTTTTTGCTATCTGTTTTTTTCTTCTGGCAATATCTACATCTTAAAACCTAATTATCTGCACCTTTATGCTTCAACTCTTAAAGAATTAAAGAAGTATTATTTATTTAAAAATACTTAAATTACTATATACTTGAATTCTATAAAATAAGTTTACTATCCTAACAGGATACATCAATAAAAGTTAAATTAACTTTTATTGATGTATCCTGTTAGGCTAGTAAACTTATTTAATAGAATTTCAGTATATAGTAATTTAAGTATTTTTAAATAAATAATACTTTTTTTTTTTTTTTGTATTTTATTTTACAGCTCGATCAAGTTCAAACTCAGTTAAATTATTGTCAATAACTAAAACTAGGGCAAAATCAAAGAATTATAATGAAGTTGGTATTGATGTAGGGAATGATAAAGAATACATTGAAAATGGAATTAGATTTGTTAATCCAGAATCAGGTAATGTTTATTTAGGGTACCAAATTTTTATAATTATATATAACAAAGTTATATATTTCTTGCATATATAATAAAAAGAATAAAAATAACGAAAAAGCGCCAGAACTTTAAAACGATAAAATAAAAAATTTAAACTTAATTAAAAAAACGCTTGAACATAAAATATTTTGAAACAAAATTAGTCATTATAAAATATCAAATTTTGTTTAAAACTTCTAAATAATTAAGTTTCAAAGTAATAAGCTTGGGTTAAATAACTTTAAGACTTCAATTTTTTCTAAATTCTTTGTAGTGAAACACTTTAATTTACACTTTGTAGTGAAACACTTTAATTTACACTTTGTAGTGAAACACTTTGAATTACAATAAAAACATATACTATTTTTATGTTTTTATTTTTTCTGGTTTATTTTTTATTCTTTTTTTTATTTATTAAGATTTTAAACCATGTGAGCTGCTTCTCTAAACAGCTTTTAGCTAGAACTTTTAGTTTTTGCACAAGCTATCTGCTTATTCATTAAAAATTTGCTTTTTATACTCATCACAAGCAATGCTTGTAAAGTTTATGTTACAAGAATCTGTGCATTTATCCACTAACAACTTTATTCATTCAATAGAAAATTTGATAAAAAAAGAGCTATAAAATTTTCTACTGTTAAACTTCCTAAGTTCTATAACAGTGAGAAAACATAAAAATATTTTTTCTTTTCTTACTCAAATAGAACTCAGGAAGTTAAAGAATTGTTACAACAAATAAAGATTACTCAATTAAAGTGTTTATAAAATTAATTAATTTTTTTATTTTTTTCAAAGCATTTGATTGCGCATTATATATTTTTTATTTTAATCAAATTGAGACAAATTAATGTTAATTTATTTAACAATTATAAATAATATATGAAATATATGATTCACTACATAATAAAAAAATTATGCAATACTAATAATGTGTAATAATTTTATATTATATATATATGAGTTAGTAATACTTGTAATTGTTGAATGTTTTAATTTTTTAAATGTATTTTTAAAAATGTTTGATACTATAAACTGAATTTTAAATAATAGCTTTAATAGATAGACATAGCACTAACTAAGATATAGGTTTATGACAGAATATTCTCAATTTATTTTTTTATGATAGCGTTTTCATAAGAAACTGATTTTGTAAACTGATTTAAAGGGACTACCAAGTCCCGAGACATGTTGTGTTCATATTAAAGAGAATGTTAAAAAAAATGTCTGAGCAAATTTTTTTTGATTAAAACTAATTAACAAATGTATACCAAGAAAAACAAATCTTGTTGTTTTAGTCGAAGCTCGTCTTCTCTGTTTTCTCAGGTATTTTGAGTATGTAAAATAAACGCGATTTTCCAGGCGCGTTATACAGACTTGATAATTTATTCAAGCGCGTTAATTCATAGGAGTTTTATTATATGACATCATAGATTTGTTTGTTTGTTTGTTTAAAACACCGATTGTTATTTTTTACATACAATTTCCAAATCATATTTATTTTTATTATATTTTAATGTTCTAAAATGTGTTTGTAAAACAAAATTAAAAACAAAATAAAAATAAAATAAAAAACAAAATAGTATTTTATTTGCGCAACTTTTTTTAAATAATCGTCTAGACCACGTGTATTTTGATTTCTTTTGTTATAAGTTTTTCTTTCAAAATATTAGATAAAATAATTTTTAACCTAAATAATAATGCACTTTTATTATTTTCCTTTGTAAATATTTAAAAAAAAATTATTAACGCATTTTTTCTCTGATTTTCAAAAATGTATTTTTTGGTATTGAGGTGATCTTATTTCATTATTTATATTTCCATTATAACATCCAATATATATTATGGCAGGGGCTTAAAAATTAAAAAATTAATATATATTAATTTTTATTTTACAGACATACATGGAAACATAATTAACTTGAATGTTCTTACAACATCTTGCGTAAGAATAAAAAGAATATTCGCGAACACTAAAAACCCGCCAAATTTGTGAACAAACTAATTCTATTGGTTTAAAAAACATGCTGACTAAGCGAAATAAAGTTCTAGAGTATTCTGTTGAAATGTTTTAGGAATTGTATTATTTACGATTTGTTGCATTTTGAGATATCTAGCATAAATTTTTTTAAGAATATATTATCAAATGAACTATTACTTTAATATTATGACTCATTCTCGGAGCCACATCTGTAAAGCCGTAAAACTTTTAAACTATTATAATTTGTTTACAAAAATAAATGTTTTATAATATATATTTTTTAAATTGTCAAAATTTTCAAAGTTAATTACAAGTTATATATTTTATTAGTATATTCTTAATTTTTTTATCTTTTCGTAGTGCTTGGTTTAATTAATTGTTCGTTAGATTTGTAAAAAACTAACGAACAATTAATAAAATAAACTTTTAATAAAGTAAGTAACTATAGTTAGCTATTTGAGTAAAATTTAATAGTAAAATTTTTAAAGAATTTCTAGATTGTTTCTAATGATGTCATGCTCTAAAACTCCTATGAATTAAACGCGCTTGAATAAATTATCAAGTCTGTATAATGCGCCTGGAAAATCGCGTTTATTTTACATACTCAAAATACCAGAGAAAGCGGAGAAGACAAGCTTCGGCTAAAACAACAAGATTTGTTTTTCTTGGTATACATTTATTAATAAGTTTTAATCAAAAAAAATTTGCTCAGACGTTTTTTTTTAACATTCTCTTTAATATGAACACAACATGTCTCGGGACTTGGTAGTCCCTTTAAGATTTAATTTCTCTTAATTAAAACGAAAAAAAAGTTCTGCACAACTAACTACAAAATTCTTTTGCATCAATACTTTGAATCGCTAAAACATCTTAATCACAAAACTACTGTTTATATGGTCATAAAATAATACAATGGCTCTCTATATATCAAAAGAGTAAAAGGATGTAGAAGAAAAAGTGGCTTTAGAAAGCAGCAATAAGTATTTGATGATAATTCACACAAAATCTCAACTACTTAAACAGAGATCAAGCCAAAGATATAAAGTTTCAGATTTTAGGTCAGGAAAGTTAAGAAATTTAACTATAACAATTCTTATTGAACCATTAAATATATGAACTGATCAGAAAAGCAATCACCGACTGCTAAAACTTGAGCAAAAAAACTTTATGACGAAGTCCTTACAAAGTTTAATGGCTCATAATTATGGATGGCAAAGCGTACATGTCCAAAATTTTACACTTCAATTGTTCCCAGGTCCAAAATTTTACTTCAATTGTTCATGGACGTGTCAGCAACAAGTTCATGTATAAACCATTAGATAAATTTGATAAGAAACTCTCTGCAATATGCAGCTGCAATTGGAGATCTTAAGCTTTTGTCACATCGTCAATTTTAAACTTGGGTGTTTACACCAAGGAATACTTGCAAGCTAGACTTTTGCCATTTTATCAAAGTCACAATGTTCCCTATTGGTTCTGGCCTGATCTGTCAGCTTCTTGTCATTATTCTAAGAAAACCTTGTCATTATTCTAAGAAAATTCTTGTTCTAAGAAAATTCATTCTAAGTTCATTCTAAATTCATTATTCTAAGAAAATTCATTCTTGTCATTATTCTAAGAAAAAAAATGGTACAAGAGTTGAGAATTCATACCAAAAAACTTCAATCCATCAAACTGCCCACAGTTCCATTCCATTGAGAAATTTTTGGGATTTGGCATAAGAGTAGCAAAACAATAAGTACAGCTAAAGATTTGATTAGAGACAAAAAAAAATTGCAGAAGATACTGTATAAAAGTCGATTGTTATTTTTGAATGTTTTAGACGTCTTTGGGGCGTTTAAAGACGTCTTTTTTAGGTATCGTGTCTACTGGGTAGAATTAGAACTAAAATTAGAACTAAAAAATTGGGTTTTGGGTAAATAATATATAGAAAAAAATGTATATTTTTCTTTTCAAATGTAATATCCCGTAATAGAGTAGTAATAGTAATACGATAACCTTGTAATCATGAAGTTTGGTTAAAATTAATTGCTGTTATTGGTTTGGATTAGGGTTGACAAATGTGATTAAAAAATAATTTAAAACTTGCGATTTTTGTTCATAATGTAATAAAGTAGGAGAGCCGGAGCTGAGTCAGGAGCCAAACTGGAGCCAGAGATTTTTTAGGATTCAGAGCCGAGCCGTAAAAAAATTTAGCTCCACAAATATATATATATGTATGTATATATATATATATATATATATATATATATATATATATATATATATATATATATATATATATATATATATATATATATATATATATATATATATATATATATATATATATATATATATATATATATATATATATATATATATATATACTCTTGTAATTGAAACTTTTATAATGTGAAAGATTTATTCATTTAATTTGAATATCTTCTTCAGTCTCTTCAAAACCTTATTTTTAGGATTAAACTCCTGTATTTTGAAAACTTTTTTCTTTCTAACATATTTTGAGACCCTTTGAGAATTTGATTGAGTTCAACTGTATATAAGTTTAATGAGTTCAACTATAAACTATATATATATATATATATATATATATATATATATATATATATATATATATATATATATATATATATATATATATATATGTGTGTGTGTATATATATATATATATATATATATATATATATATATATATATATATATATATATATATATATATATATATATATATATATATATATATATATATATATATATATATATATATATATAAATTTGAAATTGTGAGTGCCTGTTTTTGGTCTTTGCTCATTTATTTCGCATATAAGAGGTTTCAAACAATTTTTTAAATAATATTTGCTAGTAATGGTGTCTCTCTTTTCAACATGACCCAAATGAAAAACATCTGTTGCTTTGAAGAAGATGCAGAACATGCTTTTCGGCTAAAACCTATCGCATCTTACTATAGTTTATGGACTTTCACCTTCACCGACCCAACTAGCGTTAGCTGACTTGTGTCCAACTTGTCTCAAATAAAACCACGGCTCATCCCCTGTAACAATATCACATAGCCTCCATGGGTCGTTTCTATAAAGGACTAAAATTTCCTTACATGCCTCAACTCTATTGTTTCAGTTTTGATCGGTTAATTCGTGGGGTATCCAACGTGATGTTAGTTTTCTTTTTTTAAGTGCGTTGTAAATGATTTCGTCGATTGTAAAACGATCAATCGATGTAAAGGCTTTAATTATATCATGCGGATTTTCTTCAATAATGGCTCGCAAACATTCAATATTCTCAGCTGTATACGTGGTTTGAAAGTACCCTGAGCGAGGATCATCTTCAAGACTCTCTCTACCATCTTTAAATAAAGTAGCCCATTTGGTAACTGTACTATATTTTGGAGCTTGGTCACCATGAACTAAAACCAATTCATCGGTTATATCTTGTGCTGAAACTCCAAAGAGAGCATGACTTTTAATATATGCTTAATATTCAAGTTTTTCCATTTTTAAATTTTTTCTTTCAAACGTATATAACAAAATTTAAATAACTTTTTAATAAACAAATATTTAAACAAATACTTAAAACGTTCATAATTAAACACAGTTCAAGATGATATCTAAATATTTAATTATTTCCTGTCTTATTGTAACTTTATAGATGAAGTTCTATGAACTTCTCTAACGACCTAAGTATATATATATATATATATATATATATATATATATATATATATATATATATATATATATATATATATATATATATATGTATATATATATATATATATATATATATATATATATATATATATATATATATATATATATACATTTTTTTGTTTAAAGTTCTTTTGTTTAGGTGTTTCAAACTGTTCAGAAAATCCTAATATTTTTTCAATACCTGCTCTTAGTTTTGAAAAGACATCAAGCTATAATGAGTTAAGCGATTCAGGAGAATCATCAGATCTTACCAAAGATGGTAGTAAAAATTATGAAGCTATTGATGAAAACCATGAGATGTTTGATGACGATTTGTCTTCAGTAAGTTGTTCATATTTGGTACTTAAATAATTTATTTTCAGTAAGCAGATTGTTTATATTCTTTACTAAAATATATATGTAAAGTTATGAGGTGATTTTACTAAAGCAAAGTTTTAGTAAATTAAAGTTACAATTTATTTTACCAATAACTGAAGTAATATGTTAGTAACTAATTTGTTTATTTTCAATCTGTGTTCATAAGTTTTATATGATTAATGATAGCTTATAAAAGTTAATTAAGTGATAATAATAATAATAATAGTTGTAATGATAATAGTAATAGTTGTGGTGTTGCGGCAAAGTGCTTGCTTTTTAAACAAGAAAATCCTAGTTTGATACACACTACGTCTAAGGACCGGCCAATATTGGTTAAAATCTGGATTACAAAGTTTACTGAAAGACGAAGTTGACTTTGGCTTCGACTTCGGCGTCGTAGTTGAATTAGAAATTCGGCTTTCAATTAATTCGGTAACAATTACTAGAGTTCATTTAACTCTCAGTTAAATTCGAAAGCTATTAACTTTTTTTCAATTTATAAATAATAATAATTATAAAATATACATGTTTTTTGTATATCAACCTGTTTATCCACGCAGCGGCTGTGTCTGTCAAAGTTGAAGAGTGTTTTGGAGTTAAAGAGTTGAGAGAGGGTTGTAACCAATAAAAGAAGTAGTTTCCTTGACTAAAGTGTCCCACTCAGCGTTCGGATCATAAATTCAGTAAAGTTCGTTCAAGTTCGTTCAAAAACATTAAGAGTTGTAAAGATTCCATAACTTAAATTCTAATTATTACTGAATTTTCAGATTTTTTATTTTGACACAAATTGTTTTTTAGATGCACATATTTTAATAAATTAAAAATTACTTTGCTTCACTTGTTTTTTGTCATATTTTAATTTATGGTTAATTACAAGAACAAAAAAAAAAATTTTGTTTATAAAAAATGATTATGCAGCAATCATGGCGCAGTGGTTAGAGCGCTTTAGAAGCAAGAGATCTAGGATTCTAAGCAAGCTCTGGGCATATTTTGCATTATCAATAAATACTTTTCTGATGCACTCCATTACAAAACCGTTTGGTTTTCTTGGACACCTATAACAAAAAACAAACAAAAAATTTATAAAATTTATAAAAGTTCTTCAAAAATTTCTCTTTCAGTTAAATTTGTTTTTAAAATTCAAATTCGGCTTTCAGTTTTGGGCTACATATACAGCCTAAATTCATCTTTCAATTAAATTCGGCGTATGCATATGTTCTAAATTTATCTTTCATTTAAATTATATATATAAGTGTGCTTTTGTTGCCTTAGTACTAGGAATCCACAGACTATTTTATCATGTGCTTATGTTGCCTTTCAATTTGTTCTGTATTCTATTTTATTCTTATGTACTCTATTGCCTTTCTCTTTGTTCTATATTGCTCTCATTCATCTCAAGACTGTACTTTTTTTGATTTTATTTCTGATCAAATTGACCAAGCCCTCTATTTTTATCCATCAGCCAATATCTTTGTTTTTGGTGACTAATGCTTATCACATTGAATGGCTTGGCTCTAGCTTCAGTGACTCTGTAGGCATTTAGACCCACAGCTTTTGCCTTTCTCAGTTTCTAACTCAAAAAGTTAACTTTCCAACTTGCTTTCCAGAGAACCCAAATCATTTACCTTTTCTAATTGACTTATATCTTGTATCTGATTCTAGTCTGTGCTCAGTTTCTCCACATTCACCCTTAGGTGTTTCTGATCACGGCTTGATCTCTCTAAAACAAATTTCTCATTTTTCTTCATCATCAAAATCTCCCTGTCATTGTATCTCTTGCAACTACCTTAAAGCTGACTGAGACTCTTTCTGTGATTTTCTTTGTGATGGCCATTGGGTAGAAATCTTTTGTCTTACTGCTGACTAATGTGCTTCTTACATAACTAAATACACCTCACCTAAAGAAAAAGCTGAATTGAAAAAAGATCTTTTCATCAATATCATCTCTTGGTTCCACTAGTTGCATTCTACCTGATACTGCTGTCAAACAGGTTGATCCATTGTTTGACATTTGTATCTCTCCAGCGTCTGTATCTAGAATGGTTTCCTGCTTAGACTCTTCTGCAGCTTGTGGTCTAGACAACATACCTGTTGTAGTTATGCAGAAGTGTTCTCTGGAGCTGTCATCCATGCTTTCAAAACTATTTAACAAGTGCTTATTGGAGTCTTTTTTTCCGGCATGCTGGAAAGCCGCATCTGTTTTCCCTATTTTCAAAAGTTCTGGAGAGCGATCTGACTTGTCTAACTACTGTCCCATTAGTCTTCTTCCTATCATAAGCAAGGTTTTTGAACCTTTAATTAACAATCACTTAATGTCTCGTCTTTAACCTAATAACTTTCTAATCATCAATATAGATTTTAATCTTCTTGTTCTACAGCTGATTTGCTAACATTAGATAGAGGTGGAGAGGTTAAGGCTATCACTCAAGACATTTCTTAATAAAGCTTTTGATAAAGTTTGTCATGCTGGTCTTCTCCATAAACTTTCCTTGCATGGTGTATCAGGTAACATCTTTAAGATTATTGAATCCTTCCTTACCAACTGAAGTATAAAAATTGTCCTCGATTGACAGCACTTTTTTTTATATCCTATAACTTCAGGGGTTTCTCAAAGTCTATCCTTGGCTCTATACTCTTTAATTTACATTAATGATCTTCCGGATATTTTCACATCTAAAGTGGCATTGTTTGAAGATGGTATTGCTATTTATTCTTGTCTTGATGAAAAGCCAACACTCTCTGATTGCTTGGAGAGGGCATTTGAGCTTGAAATTTATTAAGCACAGGCTGGATCATTTATTAATTCCCTTTTTCATTCAGACAAGGTGAAAAAATTTATTGTAAACAAAGTTGGACATGCTCTTGCAGCCAACCTCCAACTATCATCTCATTGTCGTAATGTTGCTTCTCTTTCTCTTTTCTACAAGTATTATAATGGGTACCGCTCTAAAGAGCAAGCGTCTCTTGCGCCACCTACTAAAAATCATTCTTGTGTTACTTCTCATTCAATTAAGTCTCATCTATTTACTGTGACTGTTCCTAAGTGCTCTAAAAACTCTTATTCATCTAGTTTTTTCCTTGAACATCAGTTCTTTGGAATTCGCTTCCTTCATCTTGCTTTGCTGATTCATATAATTTCCAATCTTTTACGTTGTCTGTCAATCGTTATCTTACTCTATAAACTTTGTATTTTTTCTTTCAGTAACTTATAACTCTAATAGTTGTTGCTTGCAGCCTTGTTGGAAGTGAAGATGTTAAAGAAAAAATTTTAATATTATGAATCACGCATTTGTTTTGTACAAAAATACAGATCTTTTCTGATACATTAATGGAGTTTACAAGTAAATTAGCAAAAATGTAACTACACATCATGTGCTTTGAATAAACATAGAAATACTTTTAAGGTGTTCTACTGATGTAGAGGCTGTTTTTTTCAAATTTTTATTCTTTTTTTTAACCAAAAGATGGTATTTTTTCTTTCTTGATTTAAATTTTTACAACTTCAAATTAAATTGCTAAAAAATTTTGAAATTTAAATATTTTGTGTTTTTTAAAAACAAAATGATGTAAACTTAAATAACACAAGAGTTTTACTTAATCACATATTTTTTCAAGCTTTTTATAAAAAATGTATAAAATGACTTTTAAAATGAAAAAAGATATTTGTAATTTATAAAAAATATAAAAATAATATATAAATATAAAAAATAATATATAAACAAACTGTAATTCTTTATATTTTCTTATTTCTTTAAATTTTGCCAAAATGAATTTACTATAAGAAAAATTGCATCCTACATTATGAAAAAGCACTTTCTTTTTTTTGAACTGAATTCGCTTCCACAAGGCTTTTCGGAAGGACCACTAAAGCATTGCCATGAAAAAGTTGAATCAAAAGAATCAATTTTTAAAGTTATTTTTAAATATAGAGTATTTATTAATCTATATTTTGAGATATTTTAAATTATTTGATCTCCTTTCCTACAAACTTTTGGCTTAGCGCCCCTCATTAAGTTTTGCACATCTTTGGATATGCAAAACTTAAAGGATCTTTATCACAAGCCTTTCTCAGCTTGGCTTTACCTTGTGTCCTATTAAACTTAAACTTAAAAATAGCCTAAAGTTTTTCTATAGGACTTATTTGTGGACAATTTGGTGGGTTGTGATCTTTAGGTATAATTTCAACACCATTTTATACGTACAAGTTTATTGTTGCTTTAGCATAGTGACAGCTAGCTAAATCTGGAACATTATATGGTTTTATAAAAAGTAAAAAACATTTTCTAGACACTCCTTCTTGTAGAGTTTTGCATTCATTGACTTTGAGGTTACAAATGGCTTGCATTTTTGCTATCATTATAAATTGCTTGCCCATCATATATGCCCAAAAGGTTATCCAGGTTTTATATATTTATATTTATCGCTGACAGCTCTACACTTAATGCCAGCATAAAATATGTCACCAAACATATATCTAAAGTCTTATTTGACATAAATTTTATCATCAAGAATTAGGCAGCCATTGAACTTTGTCAGAACATTGTCACACAGTTTTTTTGCTCCTATTTTGATATATTTTTACTGCTTTTCAGTATGGTGTGGATATTTTATCTTGCTATAAAAGTGAATACCATAAAAATTCTTGACTTTTTGCACAAAAGAATGTGATGTATTGTTTCTATTTGCTCTTTCATAGTCACATAGCCCAAGGGTTCTGCAGGTATGAATGACCAATTTTTAAAGCTTTTTATTCTCAAACATTAAACTTTTTATTCTCAAACATCTTCTTTCTTCCAAACCCTGCCTTGCGTTTGATGGATAAAGGTTCTTTGAAACATTTGAGAACCCACAAAATAGTTGACTGACTGACTTTTTCCTAGTTTAGAACTGTTATAGATGATGATCCAGTAGTTTCTAAGTAAATGCACAAAATACTTTCACGTGATTTATTTTGTTCTTTTGATATCATTTTTAACATTTAATCTTTTAGGAAAACAATTGTTTTTTGTGAAAAAGTAGTAGCTTTGTTTATATTAAAAACCTCTTTTGTATCATTTTTTGTTAATTTAAAGCTCTCAAAGTTGAGTCAATTTTTTCGTGGCTTTACAGTTAAGGAGTCATTTTTTTTTTTTTTTTTAATTTTCTTTAAAATTCTTTACCTTAAACCCTGAAACCTTGTTAAACATGGTCACTGGGCAGAGATAAAAATTAAAGGTATTTCCTGAGGCATTTTTGTGGATTTGAACTTTAAAAGTTTTGATTGTAAGTTTCTATCACATTAAATAATATTTTGCATTATAAATAGACAAAGACAGTAATATATATATATATATATATATATATATATATATATATATATATATATATATATATATATATATATATATATATATATATATATATATATATATATATATGTATATATATATATATATCGAATGATCGTCTTCAGTAGTTATACTTCAAAGCACTAAGCAATATCTTGAAAATGTTGCATGGCGTTCTAGAAATACAGGCCTTGACAGCGACATGGATACTATGCAACTGTAAATGGATAAATTTACATGGTGTGATTTTTGTTTTGTGATGGTTATACTCAATAGTGATTCGTGTAAATACAAATTTTAAAAGACTGTGTACAATAATTTTCTCAGCAACAAAAATTAGTAGTAAAAATTAGTAGTTTAAGGTTAATCTTTTTATAAAGGACAGCATGGTCATCTATGATGTACTTTACAAAAATAAATTCTAATTTCTAATGACTATAAATTACTAAGCATTAGAACTTTGACAAGAATCACTTCAAAAGTCTAATTATAAGATAGTATGGAATTTTGGAATTAGTTTTTGAGTTTGAAGTAACTAACATGTAGCAAAGTGCAGTGATTTAATAAATCTTTATGAGTTGGCATATTAATTTCATTTAATTTTATAAGTTTTCAACTTAGAAAATTAAATGAAATTTTAATCTCTCCAAAACCAATTGACACTGAATAATTGACATACATACATACATACATACATACATACATACATACATACATACATACATACATACATACATACATACATACATACATACATACATACATACATGCCTACATGCATACATACACTAGTTTACGAGTTTTCTGTTATGAAACAATTTGTCTTAAAAATCATTCATCCATTAAAAAAAAAGTTACTGGCACCATCAAATTTATTTCTATATTTGTAAAATTTTAGAAAATTTGTAATGTGAAAAGTGTTGAAACAGATATTTGTTATAAAGATAAGTACCGTAAGATCACACACAGATATGAGTCTGCTATTCTTATGTGTGCATAAGGATATGTAGCAGATATGGTTGAAAGAATAAAAAAGTCAGACCCAAAATGTATTAAGCAGCTTACAAAAGATACCTATGAATGTATTTTTCATGTGTTTAGGGGCTTAGTTAATATTGCAAGGTATCTTTTGGATTATGGAAATAACTACATTATCCTGGGGTGGTTTATAACTGATCCATGAGAAAAACCTAAAGCAAGCTTCACCAGGGTTTTGGAGACCTATTTTATTACTGCTCAATCTGTCTTAGAAAAAGTTAGAATCCAATGTGCAAAACTTTCTATACAATTAAAAAAGTTTTAATGATTTTACCAATGGTCGTTCTTATTTTCGAAGTTTAAATGAGCAAAAAAAAAGAGTGCAAAATTTTTGATAACTTGCCAGACTCCAGAATAAAGTTCAAACAAAAATATTACTTTTAATTTTACATGTCGCTGGTTAAGTTCAAAAAAATGGCTATGATTATAATGATACACAGTTTTATTATAAAAAAGGTGATGCCTACATTGATGACCTGAATAGAGAAGGTCTTGTTATTCCCCTTGACAATATTGTTCATTGGTGCATATTTTGATTGGTTTTATTTGACCAGTTATTAGATAAATTTTTCAAGCATTTTTGATGAAGTAATTCTTATCTGTATCAAAAAAGCTTCAATTTGGTATTTTGTATTTATGACTGACATCGCTGCACTTTAGCAAATATATTTCTGAAAAATCTAGCTATAATAAAATCTCCAAGATGCTCCTAGAACGCCATGCACTGTTGTAATGTTGTTACACACTGCTGTAATGTTGTTACGCACTGCTGTAATGTGTAAGTTTCACTTGGTGAAAAAAAGCTTCTGATCAACTTATTGATGCATTTTTGGATAGAAAGTATGACCTCTCTTTAACCTTATCTATGAAATAAAAATCTGGATCTAAAATATCTTCCTTTGCTTGTGATATGCTGTAGTCTCTTTAAGATTTTTAATTACTTGTAAAAGTGGGAGGAATTCAGGAATCGGCAGCTTTGGCTGATTTGGTAATGACAGAATAAATGAAATAATGTTTAGATTTTATTTTTAAAATAAGATTTTAAAAATAAAATATAAAATTATATATATATATATATATATATATATATATATATATATATATATATATATATATATACACACTTACTAAAGCGTGTTTTGATAAGCATTTGCTCACTTTTTGTGCTTACTTTAAGGTAAACCGTTTTTTTCGAAAAAGAAGAAGAAAAAAACGAAGAATGATAAATAAAACGATTTCTTCCCCATACCAAACCCTCAGTCGATGTAGCAGCACTCCACTGCGAGTCAGGCTATTTGTCAGTCGTTGTATGTACTGAAGCAGCCCCAGCAGCCGGCTATTTCAGTATGACGTCAGATTGCTTACCAAAGTACGCAATACTATTTGTATGTATATATATATATAATATATATATATATATATATATATATATATATATATATATATATATATATATATATATATACACACACACATGGTGTACACTGGACTAAAAGTCCAGTGTACACCACTGTATGTATATATATATATATATATATATATATATATATATATATATATATATATATATATATATATATATACAGTGGTGTACACTGGACTTTTAGTCCAGTGTACACCATGTGTGTGTGTGTGTATATATATTTTTTCTCCACTTTGAGCATATATATATATATATATATATATATATATATATATATATATATATATATATATATATATATATATATATATATATATATATATATATATATATATATATATAATACCAGCACTCTATTAATCTACCTTCCAACCTACCAATTCATTACATTTTTACTGCATGATTAAAAATAGAACTTTAAAGCTGTTATTTATTAACATAAAGTTTAAAAAGTGTTTAAAAAATATTTTTACCAAGTTTGTATAATGGCTAACATATCTTATCTTTTTAATGGTGAAAAATTAATCTCTTTTTAATAATGAAAAATTACTTCTTTTTTTTTTTGAAAAATGATAATTCAAAATAAAATTTAATTAGACATTTTCAACAATATATTGTGATGGTTTAAATAAATTTGCAATTTATTCAATAGATTGATTCTGACTATGACACTATAAGTGACAGTGTAGTCAATGAGATTTTCTCAAAACCTCCACTTCCACCCAGAAAAAATGCAATTTTTGAAAGTCTTGCTGAAGTAGGTATGAAGCTTATTAGAAGGTTACGTGAGTTTATCATACATGATTTTTTAAGTGTAGATAAAATAAATACTTGTAAAATTAATTACTAGTAGCTAAAATGTAGTCTGCTTCTGTATTTTGATTACAGTTAAAAGGTATTATTTTTAATTAATTTGTTTAGTTATGTTTAACTAAATTTTTATAATTATAAAAAACATTTTTTTAACTATGTAAAACATTTATAATAATAACCAATTTCAATGTTAAATTAGGATAAATATATACCAGTTCATGTGTAGGACATTTTTTATCAGTTTACTATTATAAAAGATAATGATAATTATCTTTTGTACTAGTATAACAGATAAATGCAACAAGTTTTTTTTTTTTTTTTTTATTTTAATTCACCTCCTTAAGGCCAAGAAGGCCACTACAGACGAGGAGGCTACTTATTTGTGGCTATAACCCTCTCTCAACTCTATAACTCTGAAACACGAACCTTGACGAACAAGGCCGCTGCGCGGAGAAACGAGTTGAGCGCGGTACTACCAGGGACGTGGTGGGGATCGAACTCGGAACCACTCGTTTATGAAGCGAGCGCTCTACCACTACACCACTACCGCATAAAGTATGTTCCATAAAAATAAAAGTGTGTCTGATGATCTTAAAAAGTAGATCTCCAGGCACACTCTTTCTTTTTTGCAAAAGTCTTATTCTTTCTATTTTAGCATAGTCAACTAAAAGTTTAAAACTTGGTTACAACTTTTCCATTTTTTTTGTATGTTTTCAATTCACAAAGCTTTAATTTGATTAAAGTTAGTAAAGAAGGATATTGTGGTCATGATTGAAGATGAAGAATTATGTTGTAGTCATGACCAAAGATGAAAAAGTTTTGAAGCATTTTTAAGTTAGAAAGGCAATGCATTTAAGATAGAACAATGAAACTAATATACAGTTTTTATAGACTTAGTCAGGGAGGAGAACTTAAATTAAGAAAAAGTCTGTAAATTGGGGTGCTTTTTGACATCAAGAATATAAAATAGTTCAATAGGGAATGACCATTTTTCAGTAAGAGTCTGGAACTAAAGTTTTCTTAATTTTTTTTTATCATCTAGGAAATTGCAAGCTTAATAAAGTGAGATCATTGCTATCTAGATTATTCTTGAATTCTAAAAATTCAGACATTTCAATATTCAGCAAAACTGGAATAAAAAAAAAATGGTGCTATAAGCATTAATACATTTTATGTCTTGGAGAGACCTGTTCTCAAGTTTATGTGAAATACTACTCTTTACTTTTTATTTACTTTTCGAAAACCTCATAGGTCATTGCAGTGGAGGAAGCTTTTTTTTTCGTTTTTAGATTTACAAAATTGCAACTAACTTCATAATTGTCAAGTGCAGCTTTACATGAGTTTATCTATGTGAGTTTTGGTTTTTTTCTTTGAAGCCATAGTTGGTACTTGTCCTTCAACAGGTAGTTCTTGTTTTGCTATAATGGAACTGGAAACTATGCCCAAAATATTAAATTAGTGGAATCTTATGATGCACCATAAATACAAGATCTGATTAAAGAGAAGTCTAAAACTGAGGTTGAATTTGTTCCAATGCCAAACTGAAGGATTCTGTCGTCAAACACTTCCTCTACTACTTGTGCAGATCTTACAATTTCCAGTTTTTTATCTACTTTTGTAAATGCTTAAGACAGTTTATAGTTGGTAAAGACTGTACCATAATAAACTTATTCATTGTTTTATTGATCTCTAAACTGTAAAAAAAAATGGTGGTTTGTTGATAACAAATTAAACTTATATTTTTAATTGGCATGGTTTGTCAAAAAAAATAATAAATTATAGTAATTTTTGAATTTATTTAATTTTTTCATTCATTATATTTATATATAATCATATTTTGTGAACATAGATCTCAGGGCTCAATTTAATGGTCGGACATCAGACATTAACCGGCTAAAGCCTCAAATTATCCGATCAATTTACAAAGTAATCAGACATTTTGATCGAAGGGAATTAAATTCTACAAAATAAATACTTTAGTATATATATAAAAATTAAAATTAAAAGTAAAGTAAATTAAAGAAAAATTAAAAGCTTTAAAATAAAACTCAAAAAACTCAAAGTTACAATTACTTTTTGTTACATTTTTAATTGTATTTGAAATAAATTACTTTAAAACTTATATTTTGAAATGTTTTGTTAAACTTACGAAAAACACTTTTACAAACTATTTCTATTGATTGTTTAATAATAAACAAATTTTGTTTAAATTATTGAAAAGTGAAATTAAATTATTGAAATGAAAAATTTTTGATATTTTTAAGTTGTTTAAACATTTTTTTTGAAAGAGTTGCAAAAAAAAAAAAGTTATTTAAAAAAATAACATTGTCTTTTTAAAATTGTAATTTTTAACTATTTCAAGCTTTGGTTAAAAGTCAAGTTGTAAAAAAACAACTTTGAAACAATTCTTTGTAAAAATAATAACAAAAAAAAAAAGCAATTAAATCTTGGGAAGATTTAATTTTATTCATAACTTGAAGTAACTTGAAAATAATAATCTTTTAATAAAAGATTTTTAGAAAGACTTTTCATGATAAATTTAAATGTTTGAAACTATTTTAAAAATAGTTTCAAACGTTTAAATTTATCATAAAAATTACATGATGATATGCTTAAAAAGCTTTTGTAAGATAAGGGTTTCCAAACGCATCACAATTGATTCCGTAACTTTTAATCTGTAACATTTAATCCGTATTAAAAAAATTCCTTTGTGAAAAATTTCTTTATCAAAAACAAGCTGACGACATTTTTTAAAGTTAATGAACCGTTAAAAAAGATATAAAAGCAGAAAAAAAATTTTTATATTAATCAAATGGATACAAAAAACAAACCATTACAACAATTTGATAAACCAACACCTGAAGCCGTCATGCAACCATATAAGCCAGATAAACCAAGCGTTTATATGTGCAATTCTCATGGAAATCAAGTCTATAGTTTCGAAGTTCGTTAACAATAGTACAACACGAATATGTAATTTTTTTAAACCTAATACAAAATTCTTAAAATTAGTCATTTTGATTTGTTCAATTTTTATCATAGCAGGTGGACTTATTTTTGCATTATTTCATATTTTTTATCATAGCAGGTGGACTTTTATCATTGCAGGTGGACTTATTTTTTTATCATAGCAGGTGGACTTATTTTTGCATTATTCCATATATTTACAGATATTGCAGTACCTTGTATAGTGGGTGGAATATATGGTATATTTATACTTTTTTTTTGGTATTTGTGTTTGGGCTATTGCTGAAAGTCATATATAAAATCAACTTGCGCTTTATTGTTTGAACGAGTTACTTTGAATTGATTCCCTACTGTCCAAGTGAAAAAATAACAAGTTTTAAAAGCAATTGAATCCATTTTTTTATAAATTTTTTTTTCTTTATTCCTTATATATATTTTTTTACAAAATAAAAATACAACACTATTAAATAATTTATTTTAACATTTTTTTTTTGGTATTTCAAATCCAACATATAAATCACCTTTATTTATATGTCTTATAGTATACATACCAGAAAGAACATTATAATCAATAATAAAACCGCCTAAAAAAGTAGAATGTCCTTTTGTATATCTTTTTTCTTTATTTGGGCTTATCATCTGACACAGATATTCATTGAAATATTTAAATGTTAATATATATTCTCCTTTGTCGGTAACATCTGCTTTAGTATTATTCAAAAGTTTTTTCCCATATCTTTGAGTAATAATTGATAAAAATTTAAGTCTTCTTTAACAATGCTAAAAAACGTATTTATAAAACAAGTATAACAATGTTATTTATTATGATAACGTTTATGTACATGTTCACATTTTAAATAACAATATTTTTTCAAATGTTTTCGTTTATGCGCACGTCTTGAGTTTGATAACATTTTTTTAAATTGAATTTTTTTTTTTGCACTTCACTATCTTAATCTTCTAAAAACGTTTCCACCAAGATCCATTTCTGGTAAATCACTAACGTATTCCAACTCACCAGAATACATTTGCGCATCTTGTGGATCCAATGGTCTATTTTTAACTACTCTGGATACATATATCTGTTTCGTTTTATAAACATTTTCCGGTACATAAGGTTTAACAATCTAAAAAAATATATAATAAATAAAAAAAATCTTTTTTAAAAAAATTTAAAATACTAAAAAAAATACTTACAGCAACAGGTTTTTTGAATAAATTTTTTCTAACTTTATCTAATTTACTTTTTATAATTTTTTTTTTTGTTGCTTTTGGCATTTTTTATAAATGTTAATATACAGATTATTTATAGAATTTCTTATATACATTTTTTTTCACGGTTCATTTAACACATCAGCTTGTTTTTGACAAAGGAATTTTTCACAAAGGAATTGTTTTAATACGGATTAAATGTTATGGATTATATATGTTATGTTTTAATACGGATTAAATGTTATGGATTATATATGTTATGTTTTAATACGGATTAAATGTTATGGATTATATATGTTATGTTTTAATACGGATTAAATGTTATGGATTATATATGTTATGTTTTAATACGGATTAAATGTTATGGATTATATATGTTATGTTTTAATACGGATTAAATGTTATGGATTATATATGTTATGTTTTAATACGGATTAAATGTTATGGATTAAATAGTTTTTATTTTTATTAAATAGTTTTTAAAGTTTTTATTTTACTCCTTTGCGTAAAATAAAAACTTCAAAAAAGATCAATGATTAAAAGTTATTTGTAACAAAATGATTTTTTTTTATTGCATTTAAAATAGTTAAAACATCAAAAAGTCGTTTGTCAAGTTGTAAAAAACTAAAAAAAAAAAAAAAAGTTGTCAGTCACAGCATGCAAGTTCAAGTCTATTTAAAAAAAACATACAATATTAAATTGGAACTATTTTATAAAAAAAACTTAATAACATGATGAAGATTTGATTGCATAGCTTGGTTCCGTAAAA